GGTTATATAACAAGGCATCAAGGGGGCAGCTAACTTCCTAAAGGCATTACAGGATAAATTTCCAGCTTCAGTATTATCAAAGGCTCTTTCTTTCTAACCTAAAATGGTTTGAAAAACTTGTACAGCTTTCAAGCTTACCCTACTTTGTTGTAGATTGATGACGTCATGAAGAACTAAATGACAATGGTTATTACTCATCTTATTCCTTCTCTGTGCCTGGCATTTCATGTCACAACCCATCCCTTTTCTCGTCAGCGCTGAGTAATCATGTGTGAGGTACAGGGTAAAAGAAAAATATGGGGGCTCCTGGTTCAAAATGCAGGAAAAACCTGCCATTAAAGTTATTAAAATACAAAACTACTTTGTTTTGTGGACTCTCAACTTGTAGTATGTATGCATTTATTTATTTGGTTAGTTAGTTTGTTGTTGTTTTTGAGAAAGTGTCTCTATGAAGCTCAGGCTGGCCTCAAACTCACGATCCTCCTGCCTCAGTCTCCCCACTGCTTGGGTCACAGGCATGTGTCACTGTGTCTGGCTTCAATTTGTAGTGTTTCGATTGCTATTCAGTGTTGTCCTACAGTAAAATTAAAATTGCAAATTGTTAATATGAGGTTTACCTTTCATCTTTTACTATGCAATGCCAATTTTAAATGCAAATATAAGAGTTTTTAACTTGTAGAATCACTGAAATTATGCAATTTGCATTTCATAGATTGTACATATGTATATATTTTGGTTCCCTCTGGTGCAGTGGCAATGTTGCACCAAACTAACTCAGTGGTCTACATTTAGCTAACTTGTGAGTCAGAAGAGGCTGAAACAAAGTGGGGCCCTGGGTGGTCCTGTCTTCCCCTTTCCTTCTGTGCCACCATTTTCTGTGTGTGTGACATGATTGCCTAATCCAGGGAAGGAACATAAGCAGAAAAGGAAATGATAAAGCTCCCATGGCCTTCTGTCTGCATTCAGAGCAAATGGTTTGAAATGAAAATGGCCTTCGAGCAGCCTTGTTTCCCCTGTCAAGGATGTAAGACACCTTCCATGTCCTCACTTTTGAGTGTTCCTGAATCCCCACGTTAGGGTGCCCTGGATTATGTGATCATGGGGTACTGCAAATGCTCAGAGATAATGAGTAGCAAAAAAGGGAGATACACACAGTGCACATCTCTCATCTGGTCACATGTGTGTCCCGCTGCCTGCTTGGACTTCACTTACAAAACACAGGTTCATATTTCAATAGAACAATAGGTAACCAAAGTGGATGGCCCTCTGTGCTCAGAGCCCTCTGCAAGGACACAGTTTGTATGCCTAAGGGGCCAGGACCGTCCTCCCCAAACCCTTACAGGTGACCCGAGTCCATACCACTCCCAGAGCTAAACCCACAGAGAGGAACAGTGTGTGCAAGGTCACTCAGCACGTGGTGGAGCCAGAATTCCACTGTGGCCTGTGTCTGATCAGCCTGCCTGTGTGGCCACTGTGACACAGTCGAATAACTACTGGTGGGAAGCCAGACACGAGGAACTTTGACCCATTTCTAAGTGATTGTGTAACCCTTGTCAAGTTTGCCTGCTTATTAATAAAGAGTTGTAGATTTTCACCACCCAGCATATTGGGTCCATGGCTCCTTCTCTCTGTGCACTAAGAGCTATTTGATTACAGTGTTGCTCTTCCTATGGTAGCAAATTCTGGGATAATTGTGTCTGTTGCTTGTTGTATTTGGCCTGTCCCTTGGGCGATGACTAAAACGTCCCAGGAGAATGAGAGATAGGTTATTTTGGAGGAGTTTGCCAAGGCGTAATTAGGAGAATTATGAGGCAAAATAAGGGCTGGGGGGAGATGTGGATTTTCTAAAGCTTGTAAAAATCCTGCAACCAAGGAAAAAAAAAAGTCTTCTCTATTTAGATAAACCACAGAAATGCCCTTCCTTAAGGATGGCTGGACAGGGTAGAGCACTGAACAGCATTTTAGAAGACTGGATCTGTGGATCTGGTTGTACCATCTGCCTCTATCCAGCCCAGGTGGAGACCAGCAGGCCATGGCTATGATATGATTTAGGTGACAGGTCCCATGGCCTGAAGTTCAAGAAATAATCAGGGTAAAGTAACGAGGGAGAAGATTGTTTTACACAGACAGGGCCAACTCCAACTTCTTCGCCATTATTCCAGGCTTTTGGGAAATACCAAAGAAGTCAATGTGCTTGTGTGCTTGTGTGTGTGTGTGTGTGTGTGTGTGTGTGTGTGTGTGTGTAGTGTGTAGTTAGGGAATGGAAAGGAGAGGCTCCTTAACAAATTCTGTAGAAGGGAAGACCCAGCAACTCCAAGGAGAGTCTGTAGCTTTGAACCCTGACAAATCTGACACTTCAGTCCCATGTAAAGTGGGATAGCATGTGCTTCATGCTTTTGCTATGACCAAAGGAAATGATAAAAGAGACTGGAATGGTGGCGCCATACAACAAGTGCTCAGTGAACAGTGATGAAAGTAACAGTGAGGGTGGATAGCTAAGCTTTCATAAAATGACAACCTGGTTAAGTTCCTTTTTAGCTTCCTTTCTCTACAAGTCAATTATTGGTTTGCATCTTGACAAATATTGTCACTTTCGCCTCCACCTCACCTCCCCCCTCTCCTTCTCCTTCTTCTCTCTTTTGGGTCATGTCCTTGGGGAGATGCATTTGGCTGTGCTACACGTGTTCTCCACTATGATGTGCTGCCTTGGCCAACCAACCATAACTGAAACTTCCCAAAGTAAATCTTGCCTAAATTGATTATCCTAGGTATTTGTTGCAACAGGGAAAGCTGACATACTTAACATTCATCAACTATTTCATTTATTCTGAGCTAGGCATAGGCATGCATGCCTCTAATCCCAGCTTCTCAGGAGACTGAGGTAGAAGATTGCAAGTTTGAGCTCAGCATGGGAAACTTAGAAAGATCCTATCTCAAAAAATAAAAAGGACTGGAGATGTAGATTAGTGTGAAGGTCCTAGGTTCAATCCCCAGGACAATTCCAAACCAAAACTGCATTCCTACTTTTGTGCATGTTACCATATGAATGCAGACTATATGGTAACATTGAGAACTTCCCTCTGATAGCCCACAGTCTTGGGAAAAAAACAGACGTGTAATTCTTTCATTGCACTATAATCAAATTCAGACCACTGGTGATATTAAGTATCAAAAAGAAGGACATATCACTAGGAAAGTTATTGAAGTTCTACCTGATAGAAAGCAACTGATTTTATATACTAATAACTGTATTTCTACAGAAAAAAAATATTAAGGAAAAGAAAGCTAATAGTAAAGTTTTTTTTTTGTCTTTTTCCTTTTTATCGGTACCAATAGTAAAGTATTTTAAAAAATGGTCCTTACAAGTATTTCAGAGCTTTGAATTTCACTAATTCTATTATATCTATAGAAAGAAGACTAATTAGATGTTCACCTAGTCATTTTTATCCTTAGTGAATTAGTGACCTTTGGGTAAATTATATCAATTTTTATCTTTTTTTTTTTTTTTTTTTTTGAGCTACAACCCATTGCTTAGGTCCAGACTCAGAATTGGCTCTTGAGAAAGATCCCAAGGAAGTTTTAGAAGTTAATGTACCATAATCCTACTTTAAAGAACTTTGGAGCAAGAATGTCACTGGGAATTAATTCTATGAAATTCATATTTTAAAAAAATCCCTAATTGTCAGTTATGGACATGAAAGTCGGCAGGGTCAGACATTAGAATTTGTCTCATACTAGGAATATTGGAATCCCCAGTTCTAAAAAATTTATTAAGATTGCAGTGAATGTCAGGTACATTGTTATTTTGGTCAACTGAGAGTGCAAGGATTGTTTTTCAGATGTGATGGCACATGTGTGTTTATTTGTAAACCTCAACCCATCTTTCTATTTCAGGCCAGCAGTCCTCAGTCATGGAGGGAACTGGCTGTAGCTCAGGCCTCAGACCCACAGGACCTGAGTCATCAGACCTAGGGTGGAGGACAGGTGTCTGCTTTAAAGCACTTTGAGTATATCAGTCCCCAGAGGTCCGTGGACTGTGGGGGCGGGGTAAAGGGAAAGAGCAAGAAATCTTCCTACCATCAGGGAGCTCACTGCCTAGTTATGGGCTTGAACCCATGACTACAGAAGGGAAGCCAGCCCCAGGGGGGTGCATCTTAAAATTCTGAGTGATCTGGGTGGCTATCCTTTTATCCACTTCGTAAGAGAAATGTTTAAACAAACTAAGAAACACCGATACTTCCTGGGCCTCTGTGATCCATCAGCCAGCCTGCTGAACACTGGAAATGCAGACGCCACAGCAGCCCGATTTAAAAGGAGGCTGCCTGGGTTGGAACCGAATCACAGGAGGGTTTTGCGATGCAGCCTTTGCTTGGAAAGAAGTAGCTCCAGTTCTATACATCCCTTCACAGTCCTGCCTCCTTTGAGTGGCATGGAAGCCCTGTGAGACCTTCCACCAACCTGATTTTGAGCTTCTCCTGCTGTCCAGGAGCAGTAAACTGCTCTATCCATTCTTGCCCCATTTCCTCGGCTCAGAGTGACTTTTTCCTCTTCGTTTGGGCAGCCCATGCTCACTGTCCGGTGATTCCCCAGGGGGGCTCAGCACTGCCCTGCATCCTGTGCCTCACTCTGTTTCAGCACAGCCCTTATTTCTTGGAGAGTATCCTCTGGAGCAACCTGGCCTGGCCTGCACTACACAGTCAGCTCCTCCAAAGCTGCTGTTTCTCTCTTTTCTGTACTGCCTGTGCAGTACCTACAAAGCACTCATCAGACTTCCCATCAGTGTCAATAAGCATGAACATAAATAGAGCCTGGATAAGGGGCTCCTTGTCAAGCCTTCTGTCCCTGAATTCTGCTAGAGAGGATTGAGTGCTCACTTGCCAAAGAGGTATTGAGGGTCTGGAACAGTGGAGGGTCCTGAAATCCCTGCCTACAGGCGCCCTGCAGCAGGTGTGGCAGCAAGGAAGTGGACTCTTCCTGGATGCTTATTTTCCAGTGGTAGCATTTTCCTCTGTTGGCATTTCTATGGAAATGATGCATGCTTGAATTGTTGTCAGGCGTGGTTGTATGCTAACAAGCTTTTATTTCCAACAAACTGGCCTCTCTCTGTCCATTGGTCATTGATAATCCTCGCTTCATTTTTCAAGTAAATGAAAAGGCAACAGTGAATCAGTTGAGGGGTCAGGGATGGAGGTAAAATAACAAATAAAACCCTGGGTCAGTGTCTGTCTTCACAAGATTTATCTCATCAAACTGGAATGAAACTGAAGTAATTTCTTTGAAAATCATCCTTAGAATGAGAATAAAAACCTTATTCTCTGAATATGAGTTCTGAATTTTATTTTTTATCTGATTTATTTTACTGTATTTCTTGCAGCTTTGATTGTAAGTAGAAAATATCTCCTCTTTGTTTCTGTACTCCAAGCTCTTAAGGAGTCTATCCGAAGGCAAGGAGACAAAAGCAATTTGGTTTTACTCTCCCACATTCCAAAAATAACTTTAGCAATACCCTCTGGTTATCTCAAAAATGCAGAGTGGATACTTTTATCCTAAAGTAGCAGCATCTGATTGTTGGGAGGACTTTTGCCATATGACTGTTATTTAGCAACTAACTGCTGGTGACTCATTCACCGTGACTATGGTACAGGAAAATTCTTTCCATGGAAAACACAGGAAGGAGGAGCTCTCTGATGCACTCACTGTGTAGTGTTTTCCTTTAGAAAAGGCTTCTTTGGAAATGAATAGTCTCTGATCTCTCAGTCTCCCAAGGTTTTGCGATGGTGCAGTTTATCTCCAAAGGTCTACAGGTACATTAGAAACTATAAGAAGAGACCAGCTCAGTTAGTAAACTTAAATCTATCATCCTGAGTAAAAAAGGGAGTTGAACTCATGGCAGTATCTGAAAAGTTTATATATCACTGAGTTTGGACTGGAAACCGCAGTGTTCAAAGTTACATTCCAGCAGGAAACAAAAGGGAATGGTAAAAGAAAGCTATCCCTTAGTTCCCCCCACCTGCCCCCAATGCTGGGGATGGAACCCAGCCCCTCCTGCATGGCAGATAAGAGCCCTTACCCCTGAGTTACACCCCTGCCCCACTGTTCTCTAAGCTCTCAATATGTAAGAGCCTTGGAGAGAAGTGCCTAAATGAGGTGCTGTTCATGCAGCAAAAATACAACAAAATTAACTCACCTGCTAGGCTCATAGCACAAACTAATTCCAGCTCTTTGTGGTTGGTTTTGCTTGGCAGCTTCTCTTTAAAGGCTGTAAGAGTGATCAGGACTTGAAAAGTAGACAAGTTGCCATGAAAAATGGGGAATGCAGAGGACTGGTCCCCAAGGTGCTCTTGAACCATGCCATCCCTCTGCAGTTTGGATGGCATCCCTCTGATGCTTGGCTCACATCTGTGAATGGAGGTTAGAGAGGCTGCTTAAAGACTCTTCAGTGTTTATATTCCAGCTGGCTGCTGACATAGGAAAACCATGACCCTGCAGGGCTGGGGGTGGTGGGGCGTAGTGTGGGCAAAGTGTGTCATAGAAAAGATGACCCAGAGGCTGAAGGGGACTTAGCCCTTACTTACAGACTGAGACAGCCAAACTATTAATAGTAAAGCCCTGAGTCACAGATGTAGGAATGTCACAGCTGTTTGTACTCTGCTACTGTTCCCCATCAGAAAGCCAGTAATAGAGGCCTGCCTCAGATGGAGATGAAGAAATAAGTATTTTTCTCCTTTTTCCCCAGCCCCACTGAAGTTAGTTTCACTGACCTCTGAGTCAAAACTGAGGCAGGTTGGTGGCTCCGTTCCTTTCTGTTCCCCTGGCTCTCCTAGACCCAACACGTTACAATATTTGCAGTAAATACAGTGTAATACTGGCTGTGCGTTCTAGTTCTGAAAGATGTGTCAGCCATCTGCTGTGCTCCCTGAGTGAAGTGATGTCTGTCTTTGTCTCTTGCTCATCACATTTCTTCCACAAGATAGACATATACGACTTTGGATGGGGACCCAAGGATTTAGGATTCAGGAGCTGGATGGGGCAGGTATTTGCTTTCTGAACCAGGAAGTCCTCTGTTATAGGGAACGTGTCCAAGACCTCGTGGGTCAGAAAAGCCAGGAGCTGTGACTGCAGATCAAAGCTAGGCCGGTCCTGGTTGCATAAGGTCATCCACCAGGCTGTTTGCCCCTCAGCTGTCACTGAGCCTTCTTCCTTACTGATGCACACTGAAAGAGTTTGTCTAGAAAACACCAAAGAAGCACAGAGAAAAAGGAAGTTGGAATCCTACCTAACTGGATAATTCAGATTTTTACCTTGAACCTAAATTTGATGCAGAATAAGACATTGAATCCTGGAACTTTCAGTATCTCAGGCCTCTCCACCTTCCCTCGGGAATGCAGGTAACATAAGGAGGGACCTGTAGGGCCAACCACATGTCATCATTCGCTTCGCATAGGAAAGTGAAGTTGCCACTGGCATTATTTTTCTATTATGGCCAGTTTTGCTTATTCAGTTTGCCTGAAAGAAGCTGTAATAGCAATTGAAAGCAGCTGTCACAGGAAACTAATAATGTAACAATTGACTTGTTTTACTTAGGGAAGCGGTCCCTGGCTGGGCTCAGGCTCCCTCCACTGGCAATCATTTATCAGACCCTGGGAAGGGGTCAGGGCTCTGGAGCATCTCGGTCGCCCTTTTTCCCTGGGTGCGGGCGCGAGGAATGCAAGGTGGTGACAGTGACCGGAGCTGAGGACGGTGGAATTTTGCATTTGTTACTGCAGCAGCTGTAGCGCGTGGTCTCGGCGCGGGAGCGAGGGCAGAGTCCCCGGCAGGGCGCGGCCGGCGGGGCGAGCACGGGGCGGGCGTGGGAGCCGGGGCGCGCGCGGGGGGCGGGGCTTCGGAGCGCGCCCGGACCTGGCGGCTACCGGGGGCGGCTCCTCCTCGCAGCCTCTGCAGCAGCGGGTCTGTCCGGCCGCCGAGGCGCGCTCGCACGCCTGGAGTTCGTTCCTGCTGCCTTCAGCCCGGTTCGGCTAAAGACCCGGTTACCATGGTGAAGGAGCAAGGTAATTATAAACATCGATCTCGGCGCGCGGTTGCAGAAGTTGGAATGGGATTGCGGGGCTGGGCTACCTAATGGGCAAAGATCAATCGAAAGCCGGGCAGACATGTTCTTGGTGCAAGATTGTACTGTGAAGTCTGGGTTTCTGCTGAGCCGAGACTTTATTAAGGACCTATCACATAGCCACAGCGTCTGAACCTTCTCGTTTCTTGGAGCGTTTGCCCAGCTGAGCTCCGGGGTGTGCGTCGCTTTTGATTGTTCACGCATTTTGTGGCTTGCCTTCCTGCCCCCATCTTAGCCTTCATTCTCTTCCTCATTTACAGCCTCTCCCTGAATCAATAAAGTCATTAAGATTTGTAAAGGAGGGGTCCTTCCTACTGGGCGGGGCCGTGCTGGGGCTCGCCCAAGCCTCGCTGTCATTTCTGTACGATCCCTACTGGCTCCTCCAAACACCTTCTTACAGGATGCTGTACATGGCAAAGGCAGCAAAATCACATCGCAAGAGCAGAAAAAGGAGGGGGTGGGTGGGTGTGCCCTATACAGGTGTACGTTGTTAATGTACTAGGCGTGGCCCTAAAATTAAGATAAATCGCTCAGAATTGAATTACTAGTCTAGGAAATGTGAAAGAACGTAAGGGCTTGTTTTCATGAGTAAATACATCTGGTGTTAAAGTGAAATGTAACAGAGAATAGACAGAAAAGTGAAAGCACCCCCTCCATCATCAACTTCAATTGTTAGTGGTTCTCCTGTACTTTCTAGATCTTTCTAGACCGGAATTACATAGGTACCTATGGGATCATCCTACAATCATTTTTCTGATTTTAGGCCTCTGCTGTTGTAGAGGCCTTAAATGCTTTTATAATGTAAATGACCACGAGTTTTGCTTCTGGTGAGTTTGGATTTAGGGTCACATTTTCTTACAGTGGACCATACTTTCCTCCCCTAAAGCAGATACTTCTCTTTTGGGACTGTCTGGAACCATTTCAATAAATTATATCTACTTTCTTATAGAGCTACTACTAAGGGAATCCATTTGAGATGAAAATGCTGAACTCTAGTTGGTCCTTGTTGCTGGAAACACAGTTTGGTCTTATTATACTACTGGACAGATTGAGAAAGAGCATCCTGACAGTGTGACAATGTTTAGGTTCCACCTCAGCACATGCACATAGAAATGTGGTTCTGCACTATTCATTCTGCATAAGAACCTTTAATGTCTACCTGCGTTAGCTCTGGTCTTTCAGTAAGTAAATAGTAATTGACTGAAATGGTTTTGTGGGAATAAAGGTGCTTCTCATGTTTCCGTTTTTGGGGAATCCTTCCAGAAACCCTCCTACCAGCTGCAGATGGTGGCATTTACTGGAGTTGACCCTTCATTTGAACCTCTGGCCCAACTAAAATAAAGTGGTCCTGTTGATGGATTTGCGTTTCCCTATATGAGTAATTGGTGATGGGAACGGGGTGACAGATCTGCTTCTCAGTTCTATTCCTGTGGGCTTCTGGCAGTTCCAGCCTTGGTACACCTGGTCTGTATTATAAACCAGGAGTCCCTAAATAACAACTTCTCCTCAGAGACCTTGCAGACTTCCCAAAGTTCCAATTGCCTAGTTTAGAATTTGCTTTGCCAATCAGTAGCCACTCTCTAACTGGAATACGTTGGCCAGACCACGGGGAGGTCACATACTAGTATTATCTTGGCTCTTAGACTAATGATTAGAAGCTTTTCCTTTTTTATTTTGAGGTCTGTCAGTCCCACTGTTGCCTCCCAGCATTCTGATTACACCAACCTCATCCAACACCACGGGAAAGCAGGGCTTTCAGGTAGTTACACAGAGGTTCAAAGGAAAGAAGGAAAGTTCATTATAGAGTGAGAAGGGCACTGGGAAGCATAGAACTGAGGCATCCATCCTAGAGATGAGAAAACGGGCTCAGAAAGGATATGGCTGAAAGTCATACCGAAGATTATTGGACCACATACTTGTCCTCCTTGGCCCATCATATGGTGTGGGTGGGTCAGTGACCAGAGTTACCACAGTGTGAACATCTGCTGTCTCTCAGTAGATGGTGAGTGTCTCAGAAGCTGCAGCGTCTCCATCTGTAACCAGCACGTAGCTTCTTTTCTGCCCTACGGTAGATTCTCCAACAATGGAAATAGGTTCACCTGCTGTCAGAGTTGAGACAGGGTCTGTGTCTTCTCAGTTTTGCAACTTTCCAAGCCTTTTCCATTCCCCCTTTTTCCTGGGAAGACCTCCCTTCTTCCAGAGTGGACAGGAACCATTCTTGAGCAAGCTCAGGTCATGGTGGTGTCCAGTCCAAAGAACATGGACGCCTTCAGCTCTCCACTATGCTGATACTTGGTGCCCATGTTGGTTATGCCATTGCTGTTGCCCTCTGAAACCTTTGTTTCAGGTTGACACAGGCTAGAGAAAAAGCACAGTGATTCATCCCAGCCTGCTAGGGTGGCACTAGCTGACTTCCTCTCACTCTCATTAACTCTTGTTCTTCTGATCAGTCAGCCATTCACTGCAAGTTGCAGACACATATTGATCCCAGAATCTTGATGAAACAGTGATTTCTCTGTTGTGTTCAAGGGCACCTTACCCTTGAGTGTATCCTGTAACAAAGAAGCACACCAGGGTTTTGTGGGTTTATTAGTCAATACTGCCTTCCTGAATACACACTCATCTGTGTTCACTGGAGAGGCCCGCTGGACTCACTGAAGAGCTGTAATTGTCTAATATGTGACCTAGTGCAGTTTTTAAAAATATGAAAGGAATGTAAACTTCTTTTTTGTTAAGGAAAATAAGAATAAGTGAATACTGGAGATTGTGGTATGTAAATACTCATCTAAGGTAAATAATGATGAATGCTTATGGTTTGGAAACACTGAGAAAGCACAAGAATTTAGCAGTGAGAGAGACACACGTGCAAGGTAAATGGAATTTTACATCTGGGCACCACATTTTTTGTTTTGTTTCCTGGAAGCTTTCTGTTGCTGATGGCTGGTCCAACTCGCTTGTAGGGTAAAATGGGACCCAATAAAATTCATCTCAGTCCTTTGAGGAACAGATATCGCCTCTTCTCTTGACATTTAGCTGCAGGGGGACACACACTCACAAGGCAGGTCATTTCTCTAGAGCATGGCTTCTCAACATAAACATCATTGATATTTTGACACATGATTCTTAGTAATTCTGTCTTGAGCCTAGTAAGATGTTTCCCATCACTCTTGGCCCCTGGTGCTACTAAACACCAGTACACCAGCCTCTCACTCATGACAACTGCAAATGTCCCCAGCCATTGCCAAATGTCCTTTGGGGCACTCAGTTGCCCTACTTGAGGAGAGTGGGACTGTGGGATACCTTGGGCACAGTTGTTATTAAGATGTAGTTACAGCCCCTCAAGCACAGAGAGACGTAAAAAATCCTTACAGGAAGCCAACCGAACGACCACAACAGCTCCTAAA